GTCGGCTTCAACCTGCGGTGCGGTCTCCACCTCGAGCTCGTCGCGCGTGAACTCCGCCTCCTCCTGTTCCTCCGCCTCTGTCGCCTTCGTCTCCTGCCATTCCTCATCGGCGTCCGCGTCGGCGTCAACGTCCTCCTCGTCGTCGTCTTTGTGTGCCTCTTCCTCCTCCTCCTCCTGGGGCGAGACGGCATCGACAGACTCGCGAGCGGCGCGGAGGGAGAGGCGGAGCTCCTCCTGCAGCTCATCCCTCTCGCGCTGCAGCTGGTCCTTCTCGCGCTGGAGGGCGTCGCGCTCGGCGGCCCAGGCCCGCTCGGCCTCCCGATGGTCTCGGGCGACGTCGTCGTGGCCTTCGCGCAGGGCCTCTATTTGATCGCGCAGCGCGGCGGTCTCCTCCTCCAGCTCGCGGCGGAGGGCGTCGGTCTCGCGTCGGTGGGCGTCGGCCAGCCTCTGGGCCTCGGCCGCGGCCTCGTCCAGCCGGTCCTGCAGCTCGTCGCGCGCCAGGGCCAGCTCGTCCGCGCGGCACTCGCGCTCCTCCAGCTCGTCCTCGGCCGTCTCTGCACGCTCGCGCAGCTCCTCCTCGCTCCGTCGCGCCTCGTCCAGCTCGCGCGCCAGCTCGGCCTTCTCCTCGCGCATCGTGGCCAGCTGGGCCTCGAGCTCCTTCACCCGCTCGTCGTTGTCGTCGTCGCCGGCGTCGTTGTTGCCGGCGTGGGCCTGGTCGCGGAGTGCGGCGAGCTCGGCCTTGCGTGCGGCAAGCTTGGCGCGCAGGCGCTCCTCGCAGGCGGCGGCGGTGGCGTGTTGGTCGGCGGCCTCGTGGCGGAGGTGGTCGAGCTCGCGATCGAGCTGCGCGGCGCGGGCCTGGGCCTCCTGGGCGCGGTCGGCCATGAGGTCCAGGCGCTCGACCAGCTCGGCGCGCTCGGCGTAGACTTTGGCGTAGAGGCGCTCCTTTTCGAGCACGCTGGCGCGTAGGGCCTCCCGCTCCCTCTCCAGGGCCTCGACCTCCTCTTGTTCGCCCTCGCGTCGCCTCTTCCTCCCGCTGGGCGACATGAGCAGCTGCTCACTAGAAGAAGATGAAGTTGAAGAGGTGTTGATGGTGGTGGGTAGGGCGTAGTGCGGGTTGGGGCAGAGGAACTCGTGGGGCTGGTGGGCGCCGGAGCGGATGAGGCCCGCCTCGGCCGCGCAGGCGTAGTGGTAGCGCTGGCGGCAGTTGCACAGGCGACCTGCCACGCCCGTCCCGCAGCCATGGCCACCGCCGTCGCCGCCCTTGCGCACGCACCCCGTGCATCGCACCGAGGCGTTCGAACCGCCACAGCCCGCACATCGCTGGATGTTGTGCGTTACGGCCGTTCGGTCAGATGTGAGTCTCGAGCCATTGCCAAAGATTTGCAGAAGATGTGAAAGATTTGGGGGGGGGAGCATACGAGGCAGGAGGGGGTGGAGGCGAGCTCGTGCCATGGGAAGTGGTTGCTCCACCAGGCGCACTGTGGATGGACGTAGATGCCTTTCATGGAGGCATTGCTGCCAGTACTGCCCGCGTAGAAGGGACCCACAAGGGGCGCCAGCTCTGCATCTGCATTTATAAGAATCGAGGGTGGAGAGAAGTTTGAATTCGAGCGAGATGCACGAGAGAATGAAAGAAGCAAATGGAAAGGCGGAGTAGTCGTACTTGAAGTATGTGGAGGTTGGTGGCAGAGGGCGCACTGTGCTGACGACGACACGACAGGTGAGCAGAAGCCGCACACGAAGGTGTCAGCCATAAGGGCGTCCTCGTCCGATGAGGACCCCGTATCGTCGTCATCTTCATCTTCGGCACCGCGACGCGAGGAGGGCGGCTGCACGCAGCGCCGATGGAACGTGCGCGGACAGCGCTCGCACGACACCACGTCGTGCCGTCCCGCGACGCACGCACCGCGGCAGAAGCCGCACGCGCTCTTTCGCTTGGCTGTGCTGTTGGCGGCCGCCGCGTCGGAGAGGAGGGGCAG